ACGTGACGTCTCGGGGTGAAAGATTGGGTCCACGCACCGGCTTCGGGGACGAAGCCTCTTGTAAGGGGGGGAGAGTGTAACACCCCGTGTTACGGCCCCTAAATTAAAATGAATTAAATTATCACCCACCCTAAAAAGGGGATTAAAACCCATTAATTAGCCAAAAAAGGAGGCCCACCATGGTCCATGGGCCCTTATCCCTAAAGCCAACCCCTTAGTCCTATAAGGAATAGGATTAGTGAACCCATGCCACTTAGAACATAATTAAGACTCTTAATTATATAAATAGGGATATAGAAGGCACCTAGAACTCACACCACAAATAATCCCTCACCACACAAGAAAGTTCCAAGAACTCCGTTAGGAGAAATCAAGAAAGGAGAAATCTTAAAGAAAGACCCTTCATAGCCAAGGAAATTAATTAAGGCTAAGAGGTAACCCATATCTCAACAAAACCTATTTTCTTCGCTATAATCTCCTTCCTTGGCCTCCCTCTATATTCTTGTGTCTTGATTGAATTCTTCTATGATATTTATGTTATGTTCTTGATGATTGATAAGATGATTTATATGCTTTCTTGATAATCTTGATGATCTTAATGTTAAAAAGAAGTTCTTGATTATGATGTGATGATTCTTGACGAATCTTCATACTTTCTTGATGTTAAAGATTAAATATGTTCTTGATGATTTGGGTGGGATTAGAGCCCTAGGTTGGATTGGGAATTTGTATTGTGATGTTCTTGATTTGTATTCGGGTGGGAATTCGCATGTTCGGTGTTGTTTACATTTAGAAGTCGTAATGGGATAAGTCCTACATGATTCTTGCTTTTGATCCGTTAATTGCTTACGTGGTGTCGTTATTTGCGTTTAAAAGTGTCTAAGCATGGTTTCGGGTCCCACAAAGGTCCCCAGGACGAATATTTGAGAAAAGAGTCAGTGGGGGGTAGGTGGGGGTGGGGGAACCCACCACCTACCCGCTGCCCGGCAGCGGGCAGCCACCGGACAGCCGGCTACCCGCTGCCCGGAACAGCGCTCACCGGCGGGCAGCCGGCGAGTGACCCCCACCCACCGGCTACCTGCTGGTCCAAACCCCACCCCGGGTCCCCGGCTTCCCCGTTTGATGTTCCCCGTTCCCCATGGTGTCCCAAGGACCCCGTTTGTCGTGCCTGAGTCTAGTTTGGAATTTCGGGTACCATTCGTAAGTTAAACGAGTCTTAAGGATTGCATGCTAGTGGAATTGGTAACCCGTGGACCTAGGTGGAAGTTATATGAGCCCTTAGGAACTATTCTTAGTATGTGAATGAGCACATGTAAGCTTAATTATACGTCTCCCCCTTCCCTATGTGAATTATGTGTTATTATGTGCTATTATGTGTTACGTGATGCATGACCCCAACTTGGTTAAGATCAATTGGGTTATACGGGCAGTTGAATGGGCTGAGAACCATCCCAACTGTTAACCAGGCCGGTTAAGATCGGTCAGGGATATTATTATAGGACTAAGGTCCACTATACGGGCAGTTGAATGGGTTGAGAACCATCCCAACTGTTAACCAGGCTGGTAGAGACCGTTCAGGTATATAAAGATTATGTATAGGACTGAGGTCCACATGGGCCTCGGTGATATGACCCACCGACCGGGACGCGCCAGGCGGTATGGGGCCAACAAGCCGAGGAAGGTTGTAGTCCACCGACCTGAGTAATCAGGCGGTGTGTAGGGCTACGACTGGCTGCGACCCACCGAGTGGTGGGACATCGGTATGTAGGACCGTAGTCTCCGAGGATCTTTGCCCACCGACTGAGTTTAGCTCAGCGGTGTGTCGGGCTTGATCCGCTACGGCCCACCGATTGTGCGCATCAACGGTGTGTAGGGTCGTAAGTCCCCCATTGTAAAGGGGATCGCGGTCCAACGACTGGGCGCGTCAGGTGTGTCGGATCGTGGTCTGACGTTGAGTTCGTCAGCGGTTCTCAAAGGGTTGGTTGAGATCAACTCCCCTCGTACCGCGGTACTGAGGTAGGGTGCTGCAGGGCCATGTTAATGCTATAGGCATTAACCCTCATGTTCGGGGCATGCGATTGGTCCCGTGGCGCCATCGATGATTATGTGATATGAATGATGATTGGATGATAATGTGGATTGAAATTGAGTAGTGGCTTGTGACCATAAATGAGTATTCCTTATGATGTTATTGTTGTTGTCTGTTGTACTTATCCCTATATTTGCTGAGTCTATTCCTGGTTTTAAAACTAGTGTCTCTTAAGTATATGTCTTCCTGCTTCGAAATAGATATATATATATATATATATATATATATATATATATATATATATATATATACTATATACTATATTTCAACGCGTTGGAGTGGGTTACCAGCATCTCTTGCTGAACAGATATATTTGACTTTCAGGCACAGAGAAGTAGACACTGGAGCGCGCTAGAGGTTTGGAGCGTAGAGTAGATAGTTTCCCTTTCGGCCTGCGTGCCATGTTTATGTATTTACATTATCGAGGATATTAATTAGTTAGCCTATGCACCTGGGTTCTCTAGCCCAGGTGTGGCATAGCACCCCGTACTCTACTATATACTGTTTTGAGATTTAATGAGAATTTACCTTTATAATATAAGTTTCAAAAGTTTTAAAATTTCGGAGTGTTATAGCCTAGCTGGGCTGACCAGCTTTCCCAGGCTTCCCACCTTTCCTACCATCTTCTTCGTCCTTCTTCTTCCTGTCGAAGTCCTCTGCTTCGGCATAGCGGCTAGCCATTCTTATCAGATCTTCGTAAGAGCGGGGGTGGTGGGCGTTCAGCTGCTTGTGGAAATACCCTGATCTTAAGGCATGGATAAATATCTGATTGCCGCCTTGGAGTCGAAGTCGTAGACATTATTGACTTCCTTTTTCCATTTTATCAGGAAGTCTTTGAGGCTCTCGCCTCTATCTTGCTTCACTACACAGAGGTGAGAGAAGGGCTTCTTACGCTGTATGCTACCAGAAAAGTATGTCAGGAAGCTCTTGGACAACTCCCCAAAGTTTTGGATCGACCCATTCAGGATGGTGTTGAACCAGTCTTGGGCCGCTCCATCCAGGGTGGACAAGAACGCTCGGCACAGGATGGCGTCCCCTGCCCCGACCATTACCATAGCAGCCTTGTACCTCGTCATGTGGACACGTGGGTCAGTGGCCCCCATGTACTCCTTGATGGCGGGCAACCTAAAGTCCCTCGGAAAAGGTACATCCATGATGCTTGGGGAGAATGGAGCTGCCATCTGTACCTCGGGTTCCGGCGACTGCTCCCGTGCCTCCACCCTTCTTGCTAACTCCTCGATTCTTCTCTGCAACCTCTCGACCAGGGCCGACTAGTCAGGGTGCCGGCGCGGGGCCGGCTGCCGCTCCTCCGTGTGTCGGCGTGGAGCTAGTTCATCGACGTGCCGTCTATTTGAGTGTCGACGCGGAGCTGGTTCCTCGACGTTCCGTCCATCCAAGTGTCGGTGTGGAACCCGCTCATCAGCGCGTCGCTTCTCCGCCGAGTGCCGACGCGAAGCCGGCTCATCAACACGTCGCTCCTCCAAGTGTCGACGTAGGGCCGACTCATTAACTTGTCAGCGTGGGGTCGGCTCCCGAGACTCGCCCACCTCCTCTGTGGGTGATCTCTCTGCTTCTCTGTTTTCGTGTTGGCGAGGGCCTCTGGTAGAGGACTCCTCGGCCCGTGATCCTAATCTTTGCCGCACGGGCGCCCTCTGTCCCAGTCGTTCTGGTGCAGATTGGGAAGGGCCTGGTTGTCGTTTGGCCGGTCCACTTCTTTGGGTCTCTACCCCTATTTCCTGGGGCCGCGACGGGGGGCACTTGGCCTTGCAGTCCCACCGCCACCTGATTTAGCGCCGCCGTCACTGCTTGCTGAATGACATCGGCGGTCGCCTGGAGGTTTACGGCTTGGTTCGCCCCTCCATTGTTGAGTTGGTCTCGAAGGTCCCCGGGCCTCCCGTTGTTGAGCTGTTCTCGAAGGTCCCCTCCACGATTGTTGGTGAGTTGGTCCCGGAGGTCACCTGAGGCATTGCCATTGTTCACGTTGCGGGAACCGTGGGAGCTGTGGGACACCATTCTTTCAAGCTTGCTGTTGAAAGAGGAATGAGTTGTGTGTGTCGTCGCCTGCTTGAGTATGGGAATCAGGCTCTCAATGAAAGCACCAATGACGGTAAAAATGTTACCGGTAATAATAATATTAGAATAACGCTGTGTAAAAGAGTGACAATAGTTGTATTGCCTTAGTGTCTTAGTATAGAAAGTACAATGTGTCTTTGTCCAGAGTATTGAACGTGTCCCCTCAAGCTGAGGGGAGCATCTACTTATACAAAGGTGCCAACGGTAACAACATGGGACATAAATGAGGAGCCAAGCCTTTAATTCTCTCTCATCAATGGTGGCATCAATGGTGGCTTCAATTGCAATAAAGGTGACACCTGTTGAAATTCTGTCCGTTGGAGTTTTGCCCGTTAGGTCTCCATGTGGTGCCGGGTCAAATATGGCACCGGGTCTAATGCGCACTTATGATCCGGGTCGGGTGCCAGCCCTATTATCCTGTCAGGGGCAAAATCTCCTTCCAGAAGGGTTGGTAATGGGCATAATACTCTAGTTTGGGGAACACCGTGGCTAGCCGATTCGCCAAACCCGATTCTTGAAACGGAGTGTGTGGAAGAGTTAAGGCATGCACGTGTAAGCAACTTGTTGTCTGCGGATGGTACTTGGGATGTGCACTTGCTGCGTGATTTATTTGTAGAGGAAGACGTGCACAGAATTCTACGGACACCCATTTCCCCAGAGCATACGGATTCTTGGTGTTAGAAAGGAGATTTGCGAGGTGTGTATTCGGTAAAACATCGCTACACGCATGCTTACTTCCTCTCTTTTGTCCCTACCCCCGGTCTCGGATTTTACTAGTTAGAACCTGCTTTGGAGCCTAAAAATCCCCCCTAACATTAAAAACTTTTTATGGAGGAGCATGCGTGGTTTACTGCTAGTGCGAGAGGTGCTTCATGCCAGGCTTGTGTTTGTGGGTGGGGATTGCCTCCTTTGTGATTCGGACAGTGAAACAATAGCTCATGTTTTATGTGATTGTCCGGTCGCGGTTCAAGTTTGGGGCGGTGTGGCTGTTCTAACCGGACGATCCTTATGTGTTTTCGCTGATGAGGTGCTCGGTTCGCGGGATAGGACCAAAATTCTGGAGATGGCTGCGCGGTTTTGGACGATGTGGAAGGTACGTAACGACATGCTATGGAATAATAGAACCTGGTCTTTGTCTATGATCACGAATCAGGTTTATGCTCTTATTTCAGCATGGCAGATGAGTAGGGAAACAGCAAGTGGTCTCACTCCAGCAGCTTTGCGTCCGGCCACTGCTTGGATTCCATCTCCAGTGAATGTTTTGAAATGCAATGTAGATGCTTCTTTATTGGATGCTGGTGTGGGGTATGGTGCTGTGTTGCCAGACCACAATGGGTTTTTTGTTGCTGCAGTTGGGGGGCGTCTGCAGTGCTCCCGTGATGCTTATGTGGCGGAGACTATGGCAGTGAAGGAGGCTCTTACCTGGTTGAAATCGCTTAATAGTCGCAATGTGATTGTTGAGTCTGATTGTTTAATTTTCTGCACAAACTTAATTCTGTTGCTATAGATCTTTCTTATGTTGGTATGGTCATTAAGCAATGGCGTCTGGTTGCTAGGGACATAGGGGACGTAATGGTTCGCCATGTCAGTAGGACAGCGAATCATGTCGCTCACGTGCTTGCGCGAGCAGCTGTTTCTTTGTCTGTCCTGGGAGGTTGGGAGTCTGTCCCTCCGAGTTGTATTTCAGGTTTACTATGATGAATGAAGTTCTTTGGTTGTCAATATATATATATATATATATATATATATATATATATATATATATATATATAATCGAGATTAATATTTTTTTCTATCTCAGCTAAACGTTAAGATGCAAACTTCATTTTACATATTTATTAATACATTTTATACCAGTAATTTTTATATTTTTAGTAACTTATTAATATTCAAGTTTTAATATTCATTTCATTTTCCAATTAGCCTAATTTCAATGAAATATTTTATATTTTCAGTAATTTATTAATATTCAAGCATTAATATTTATTTCATTTTTATTTTTTAATCAAGTATTAATATTCATTTCATTTTTTGTATTTGAGTCAATTTCGAAGCATTTTAAATTTTCAGTCGATTATTAATAGTCATTTCTTATTTTAATTGGCCTAAATTCTGTGTCGTTTTTATTCTCGGTTAATAATTATTTTTCAAATATTCTTTTAAATACTCTAATTTCACATATGAACATGGTGTCGATACACGAATCAAACAAATGAATATTCAAAGTAATGTAAACCCATTAAATCTTACCATTTAAACAAAAGACATAAATTTAAATTTTTAAATATAAAATATATATGCTTATTCGTGCAGTTACTGAATATGCTTATTACCAATTAATTATAAAATACCATACGTATTATTACTCATTATGCTATTATGTTATTACCTAATTAATATCTGTTCTAACACGGTATTATCAATAGAATATTTAATTAATTGTCTGTAAAAGTTTGAGTGAAAAAAATAAAATAGGAGGATTATATATATATATATATATATATATATATATATATATATATATATATATATATATATATATATATATATATATATATATATATATATTAGTTATTATTTTTATAATTAAAGTATAATATTATTAAATTAAAATTATTTAAAATATATAGATCCACATTAAGAAAAATCTTATTAATTTTGAAAATTAAAAATATATATTTATATTAAAGGTGAAATTATAAATAATTAAGTTTCAATAAGCTTAGTTATTTCCTAACTTTATATTTTATAAAATATATAACCGAGATTAATATTCTTTTTATATACTGAGTCAGCTTGGAAGCATTTTTCATTTTTATTCAATTATTAATAGTCATTTTTTTTCTTTTTTGAAAACATTAATAGTCATTTCTTATTTCAATCGGCCTAAATTTCTTGTCATTTTTATTCTCAATCACTAATTCTATTTTAATATATATTAATTAGTTAGTTAATTATTAATAGCAGTTTTTTTTATATTTCCCCTGATTTTACATTTTATAAAATATATAATCAAGATTAATATTTTTTCTATCTTAGCAAAACGTTAAAATGCAAACTTCATTTTACATATTTATTAATACATTTTATACCAGTAATTTTTATATTTGTAGTAACTTATTAACATTAAAGTATTAATATTCATTTCATTTTTCAATTTGTCTAATTTCAATGAAATTTTTTATATTTTCAGTAATTTATTAATATTCAAGCATTAATATTTATTTCATTTTATTTTTTAATCAAGTATTAATATTCATTTCATTTTTTGCATTTGAGTCAATTTTGAAACATTTTTAATTTTCAGTCAATTATTAATAGACATTTCTTATTTTAATTGGCCTAAATTCCGTGCCGTTTTTATTATCCGTTAATAATTATTTTTCAAATATTCTTTTAAATACTACAATTTCACCTATAAACATGGTGTCGATGAACGAATAAAACAAATGAATATTCAAAGGAATGTAAAACCATTAAATCTTTCAATTTAAACTAAAAACAGAAATTTAAATTTTTAAATATAAAATTTATATGCTTATTCGTGCAGTTGGCTGAATATGCTTATTACCAATCAATTATATTACCAATTATATTATAAACTACCATACATATTATTACCCATTATGCTATTATGTTATTACCTAATTAATATCTGTTCTACGCGGTATTACCAATAACATATTTAATTAATTGACTACAAAAGTTTGTGCGGAAAAATGAAATAGGATATATATATATATATATATATATATATATATATATATATATATATATATATATATATATATATATAATTAAATCTAAATATATGGATAATATTTATTTAATATTATTATGAAAGTATTACAATTATAGCTTTGTATATGAAAAACATAGAAACTTGAGTAGCTTAAATTAAAATTATTAAAAATAATGCATATACAGTACAAAAAAAAAATTATATTTGCTTTAATAAGTAATTATTAATATAATTACCCAATATAAATTTACAATTATTAATAATTATTTATGGTAATTATTCTTCATTAAAAAAAAGATAAATAAAAAAAAAGAAAAATAGAAGAGGAAAGAATATATAGATGCCATATGATATCTTACATAAGGTAAATTGATATCAAATTTAATTTAGAATTGTAATAGGAATAGGAAAGTATGAAAGAATATTTGTAGTATGGATTGTATTATCATTCTTCCAAGGCTAGGGCTGTTAACGAACCGAACATAAACGAACGGAGGTTGTTCGTGTTCGTTTGTTAAGTAATTTGGAGTGTTCGTGTTCGTGTTCGTTTGTTAAGGTTTTTGAAAATCTTGTTCGTGTTCGTTTGTTAAGCGTTCATTAGTGTTTGTTAACGTTCGCGAACGTGTTCGTTAACGTTAACAAACATGTTCATTAACAAGTACGTTCATGAACATATTCATTTACGTTCATGAATACTTAATAAACAAACACCTGCACATGTTCATGATCACAATTCGTTCGTGAACAATAAATAATATACGTTCACGAACAATAATCAAACAAACAACACAACTACAAAACTAATATAATATAATATAATATATGTTTGTAAACATGTTCGCGAACATTATTAAACGAACACAAACGAGCTTGTTCACGAACATTATTAAACGAACATAAACGAACTTGTTCACGAACATTAGTAAACGAACACAAACGAGCTTGTTCACGATCTCTTAGCAAACGAGCTTACAACTGTTAAAGCTCTGTTCGTTTATTAACCGAGCTCTAAATTTTGTTTGTTAATGTTCGTTTACCTTAACAAACGAACATAAACGAACGCTTACCGAACACGAACACGAGTAGTTTGTCGAAAGCTCTGTTCGCTAACACCCCTATCCAAGGCTGAACCCCAACCCTAACAGGGCGTTTGGTTGGAGGGGGGAATTATGTGGGAAATGAATTGTAATTCCATAAGAGTTGAATTATTGGGAATAAAGTGGAAATTTAAATTCTAGTGTTTGGTTGACAGGAATAGAATTAGTGGGAATTTCAATTCCAATGTTTGGTATACATGGGAATTGAAAGGGAATAAGTAGTATAAAGTCAAAAATTTCCATTATTGTTGTTATACATTAATTTTAGGTTAAAAAAAGTAAGGGGTAATTTTGACTCATCACTAACTTTTTTTCCCAGGAATTAAAATCCCATGGGGGGACATGGGATTTTAATTCCATGAAAATGGGGGAATTGCAATTCCATGGAATTACAAATCCCTCCAACCAAACTACGGAATTTAATGGCCTTTGGAATTAGGTGGGAATTAAGTGGCAAGGGAATTTAAAATCCCTCCAACCAAACGCCCTGTAAATGGATTGTATTATCATATTTGTACAATTGTAGTACGAATAGGAATTGTATTACCATATATTTTATAATATTATGCAAACCTTAACAGGGCGTTTGGTTGGAGGGATTTTAAATTCCCTTCCCACTTAATTCCCACTTAATTTCAAAGGCCATTAAATTCCGTAGTTCGGTTGGAGGGAATTGCAATTCCATGGAATTACAATTCCCCCATTTTCATGGAATTAAAATCCCATGTCCCCCCTGGTATTTTAATTCCTGGGAAAAAAAGATAGTGATGAGTCAAAATTACCCTTACCTTTTTTAACCTAAAATTAATGTCTAACAACAATAATGGACATTTTTGACTTTATACTACTTATTCCCTTTCAATTCCCATGTATACCAAACATTGGAATTGAAATTCCCACTAATTCTATTCCTGTCAACCAAACACTGGAATTTAAATTCCCACTTTATTCCCAGTAATTTAACTCTCATGGAATTACAATTCTTTTCCCACATAAGTCCCCCCCCCCCCCCCCCCTCCAACCAAACGCCCTGTAATCGTGTAGGAGTCTTTTGGGAAGGAATTAAAATATAAGATTTTGTTTGTATATATAGTATAGATTACTGATTGTTTTAATAAGCTTATTATTATTAAATTTGGGCGATTAATTATTAATATTCAATTTGGTTCTATTATTTTCGCACAATCTTCCTTTTAAATTCTTGATACTAGCGATTGTTTTTCATTTTCACTTTTTAAGGGAAATAACCATGTTATTAATAAAAGTTTGTGCTGAAAATTACACAGGAGAATTTTATTTGTATTAATAGTATAGAAAATTTTAATTTCATTAGATTTTAAATAAATGTTACCACAATTATATGCAGTAATTTGTCATATATAAATTTCTTACTTTAGTAAATATTATTAATCATATGATAACCTATTCTATTAATAAAAAATAAAATCATCCCTACATAACACAAAGAGAACACTAAATAAAATTCTCTAAAAAGAGAACACTAATTGAATGGAACAAATAATTTATACTCTAAAAACAAAACAAAAAATATATATAAGAACATTGGTTTTTTTATAAGAATTTAATTACAGGAAATCAAGTTTAGGTCAATAAAAGCAAAAAATACTAAATGTTACTTTCAAGCATGCACATACATGGATATTTTAATCTACTGGCCTTCAATTCTTTCTCAGAATCAGAAGAAGTGTCTTCATCAGATGAAGAGGAACCGCTTTCCACCACATTCTTCTGAATCTTGCCATCGACATTTTTTTTCTCTATAACTTGTTTTAAAACTGAATCCTTTCTCCGCTTTTTTGTGCTGGCCTTCTCGAGCACAGCTTTCGATTCTCTCTTAACTACAAACTCACCAAAAAACAGTGAACTTGGGTAGTATCCCCTATTGACTCTATAACCATTGCATCGCACAAATAACAAAAACCGTGCATAGAAATAAAATATATAAACAATATTACAAAATTATTGTTTTAAACAAAGCAATAATACGAAAAAAAATACATATAATACAAAATTTTAAAAACAAAACAATAATTAAAAACTACGAAAGATCAATTATAGACAAAAATAATACGAAAAAAAATACTTTTCTAAAAAATTAAACTTGTTTGCATCAGCTTAGTCGGACCAACTACAACTGGTCTGGAGTGGCATCAACTATGTTCATAATTACTGAACTATATGTTCATAATTATAAAGCTATATATTTATAATTTTTGAACTTCATATTTATAATTATTGAACTCTATATTCACAATTACAGAACTCTATGTTCATAATTACTGAACTATATGTTCATAATTATAAAGCTATATATTCATAACTTTTGAACTCCATATTCACAATTATTAAATCTCTATATTTATAATTATAGAATTATATGTTCATAATTATGTTCACAACTCTATGTTCAAAATTATAGAACTGTATGTTCAGAATTTTTGAATTATATATTTATAATTAGGAATAAGGTTCAAATTGGCCACTGAACGTAACCTGAAAATGCAATTAGACCACTGAACGAAAAAAAGATACAATTAGACCACTGAACACTCAAAAACGTGCAATTAGACCACTGAACACTCTAAAAATATGCAATTTCACCGGATAGCAGGTTACCATCAAGTTTAGCAGGTTACCTGCTTACGTGGCAGCTGAGTTGGCATTTTTAATAATTTTTAAATAATTTTTAATAACTTTTAATAATAATTTTTAAAAAAAAATTGAAAAAATAAATAAATAAAAAATTAAATTTGTTTAAAATAATTTTTTTTAAAAAACTTTATTATTAAACTTTATTAAAAATTATTAAAAATGCCAACTCAGCTGCCGCGTAAGTAGGTAACCTGCTAAAATTGATGTAACCTACTATCAGGTGAAATTGCATACATTTGGAGTGTTCAGTGGCCTAATTACACTTTTTTTTCGTTCAGTGGCCTAATTACATTTTCAAGTTACGTTCAGTGACCAATTTGAACCTTATTCCTTATAATTATGACAGGACACGATTCTACAGCATAATTTGCCAGAAACAAGTAAGACCTAACTAAGCCTTAATTACTTTAGGCCTTAAACCCTTACAAAGGAGCTGGCCTATTCTAATCCTTAATAAACTCGATGTCTGGATAAGTTTAATCCATTTTGACAGCTCTATTAGTGAGGTATAAGTTAAATTAATTCACAGAAGTAGGGAAAAAACTGATAGTGGAATTTGTTTTTAAGCAGCTCAATTTGTTTGTCCACCAGCCGTCAATTTTGACAGTGTCGGCCATTCTCTTTTCCCAACTCAACCCAATCTGATCAACACATATTTTCTTCGTTCCTTTCTGAATCTCAATTTCTTTTGTTTTGATTCGATTTTCGAGACGCGAGGCCGGATTGAATCGGATCCGATCCGAATTTTGTTAGGTCGAAGAGAATGGCGGCATCGCGGCGTCTCCGAGATTTACAATCGCAGCCGGGGAACAAGATCTGCGTCGACTGCTCCCAGAAAAACCCTCAATGGGCCTCCGTCTCCTACGGAGTGTTCATGTGCTTGGAGTGCTCCGGCAAGCACCGCGGCCTCGGCGTCCACATCTCCTTCGTCCGATCTGTCACTATGGACTCCTGGTCCGAGATCCAGCTCCGGAAAATGGAGCTTGGGGGAAACGACAACTTCAATTCCTTCATCTCCCAGTACGGAGTCCCGAAAGAGACCGATATCGTCACCAAGTACAACACCAAGGCAGCATCGGTTTACCGGGACAGGATCCAAGCCCTAGCCGACGGGAAGCCCTGGCGAGATCCACCAGTGGTCAAGGAAACGCTCAAGGGCGGCGCCGGTAGTAACAGTAGTAAGCCGCCCTTGAGCGGTGGTGGGGGTAGGAATGGGAACGTTGGTGGGAATTCGAGTTGGGACAGTTGGGACGACGATGGAGGGTTTAATAACGGGAATCATAGCAATAATAATATTCGGAGGAACCAGACGGTGGGGGATTTCAGGAGTGGTGGAGGAAGCGGTAGTGCACCGGCCAGGTCGAGGTCAACGCAGGATATCTACCGGGCGCAACTGGAGGCCTCAGCCGCCGATAAGGGTAACTTTTTCGCTAGGAAAATGGCGGAGAATGAGTCCAGGCCTGATGGTATCCCGCCATCACAAGGAGGGAAGTATGTTGGGTTCGGATCAAGCCCTTCCCCGATGCCCAGAAATAGTAATTATAATAATAATCCCCAAGGCGATGTGCTTTCAGCTGTTTCTCAGGTGCTTTGGGAAATAAGAGATCTTTATTATTATTATTATTATTATTATTATTATTATTATTATTATTATTATTATTATTATTATTATTATTATTATTATTATTATTATTATTATTATTATTATTGCTTGTGCAGTAAAGTGCTTCTTTGATTGCTGATTTGAATGTTGTATGGCTTCTGCAGGGTTTTGGTAGATTATCCATGGTAGCTGCTTCCGCTGCCCAATCGGCTGCTAATGTGGTTCAAGCAGGGACAAAGGAGATAGCTTCAAAGGTATACTGATTTTCTCCTTATCTACTTGACATATACTTTTGTTATCAGCTTGCACTTTGGTTCTCATGGTTAGTTCTGATTTTGGGATATACTATTGGCATATAATATTCATGTTTTGCTTATTTGTGGAGTAATATATGGTATTAAGTGAAATTAGAGAATATATATATATATATTGGATCTGTGTGTGAGGAGGTAAGTACAGTTGGGACATGGAAGAATGCTTTTTTGCAGTTGTAGTGCACATCAGATTGGAAATTATGGATACCTGAGAATCTTTTGGGGTTTTAGTTTTGATCATCCAAGATGTATTTCAATTTCTGTATTTAGGTGGATAATCTGCTCCCTGCAATTCAAACCTAATTGAATTCAGATCACCTGATTTGACATCATCAGTTCAAGTTTCAGTTTTAAATTCAATCTGAATTACGTTCACCTTTAGCTGTTGACTTGTCATCATCATTACAGGACAAAAAAGTTCCACTCCCCCTCCCTTCCCCCTGAAAAAAGATAGTAGTTGTTAGTATTTACAGTATCATTTTCTGAGGAACATGGATTGGCACTAAAAGAGTAGCTGTTATTAGTTCTTTTCAGGATAGTGGTATACCCAGTGTCTTATTTTAATGTCTTCTATGTTGTATCAAAGTCTATTTGTACGGAACCCCTAAGTCAACTTAAAATGTCATACTTCATCTTTCTTTCATTCTTTTTCCCAATTTGTTCATGCCAATAGTGTTGGAATAATTTCCTACTGGTAAATTTTATAGGTCAACCATTCTTGACTGTCATGAGATAAATAGATGTGGAGACAGAAAAATGATTATATTGGTGAATAAGTTGATACATTTTATTGAGTTGTTTACATGTGCACGAGTGTGTGAGTCTATCTCCTTGAGAGTTTGCTACATTGTATTGACTTTTTCTGTGTGTGAGACTATCTCTTTGAAACTGTGGAGGGCATACTTGGTAATAGGTCAATAAGTTTCTATGTTGTATAAAAGTCAATATTTGTATGGAACCCTAAGTCAACTTTAAATATCAAACTTAATAGGTCAATAAGTTTCTGTGGTGTATCAAAGTCAATATTTGAATGGAACCCAAAGTCAATTTAAAATGGCATACTTGGTAATAGGTCAATAAGTTGATCCAGACTATTGAGTTTTACTTGTGTCAGAGTGAAACCATCTTCTTGACTGCATGCATAGTTTGCTAAATGGCAATTTCACTCGAGGTCCATTGTGGATTTGGATGAGATTTTAAAGCATGGAACTAATTTCAACGGAACCATCATTCCCCTTCTAATATAGTGCTTCCTATCTTACACCATGGGAATAGAACATAATACCCTTTCAAAATTGTTCATTTAATTTTATTTTTTTTTACAACTTGATCATTTAATTATGTCTATGTGTTCATTTTTTGTATACACATAAATACAAAAATTTGTTTTGACATTTCAGAAAATTAGTATTTTAATTTTTTTGAAGTGTTAAAATTCTTTAAAGTACCCCGTATTAATTAAGGAAAATTGTTTTTCCGGTGTTATGAGTATTTTGGTCATATTAATATAGTAATATCTATTTTTCTCAATGACTTAACAAACCAAACATAATAACACAATTCATTCTCTATTCTATTCTATGAACCAAAGTATGAATATCATTCCTTTTCTTGTCCATTCCTTCTCAATTATTATTCCTATTCTTATTCTCTCTATTTCCATTTTGTGAATAAAAAATGCTATGAGAATTTGTGGAGTGCATACCTATATTGGTGAATAAGTTGATACAGTTTATTGAGTTCTTATTCTTGTAGTGTGAGGCTACCTGCTGACAAATCTTTTGTCCATGTGAAATTCTATCAAAACCTGCTATCCATCTTAAGATTTTCAAACCCATGAGTTGTTAATGTGCCTTTTATGGAAAATAGTTTATATGATCTTGAGTTCATTGGCACTTAATAAAATGCATGTCTTATCGTACCTTTACAGGTGAAAGATGGTGGTTATGACACTAAGGTGAATGAAACAGTGAACGTAGTCACGGCAAAAACAACTGAGATTGGTCAAAGAACCTGGGGGATCATGAAAGGGGTACTGGCATTAGCTTCACAGAAGGTTGAAGAATATACTAAGGAGGACAATGGCAACTGGAAAAACGATAGCTGGCAACGGAATGAAAGTGAACAGAATGGCTATTATCAGGACTTTAATCACAACTCTAAAGGTTTGAACTCTTCTGGGGGAGGAGGTGGTCAGTCCTCATCCGGTCGACAGTTCAATTCTGTCAACTCCGGTTCGTGGGACAATTGGGATACTAAAGGCAACAATACAAAAGAAACAAGCCCAGCTAATAACGATAGCTGGGCAGGCTGGGATGATGCAAAAGATGATGGGTTTGATGACTTTTACCAGAGTGCACATGATAATAAACATGTTGGACACAATGGAAAATCAGACACTAAGTGGAGTGATGGAGGGTTCCTCTAAAGCTGGTAAAAGTTTCAGTAAAACTTCCCAATCATCTTTCAGTAAAACTTTCCCCTTTGGAATTTAATTCTATCCATATAACTTGTGTTAAGGGATTGTTATTCTGGAGACTGTAAAATTGCCAATAGGGAGGACCAATTACATCCTCCCAGCCTGGTAAAAGAACATAATATTGAAGATTTGATGTTTGTCAGGACCATTATTTCTTGGATTATATTTTTTCATCACATTTGGATTTGTAGTGACAAACCATATTTTTCCTATGTTCAATTGTGTATTTTTATCATCTTGTATGAGTTGTGTGTTTAATTGCATATCTTTACCATTTTTTATGAGGTGTGTTTATTTGCATCTTTTTACCATCTTGTCTTGTATAATTTCAAGCATGCTCGATTGTATAATTTGTAAGGGTTTTTTTTTAAAAAAAAAAAACCCTTGGAGATGCATCAGTGTCCTATCCAATGGGTTGGTACTGTTGAATTTTATTTGAGATAGCATTTTAAATATTTATTGCTCCATTCATAGAATTTGAATCTTGGATAAAATATTTCCATGCAACTTGAAACCTAGATGATATTTGCTAATGGGCATATAGATACATGATACAATGATTCAAATGAACACAAATCAAAATTTGATTCAATTAATCATATTTTACAAGATTAGTACTTCCTCTGTTCTATTTTATATGTTCTACTTATTATTTATTGGTTAAATTAACACTTTCTATGCTTATTTCTTTTCTTATAAGTTTTAAATTTGATTTTTTGTGTTTAATAATACTTTTAATATAGTTTCTAAATATATAAATTTTAAATATTAATTCTAAACTTAATATTACGACAAATTAAATTATAAATAATTTTAGTAAAGTCTCGTTAATTGAATCTGACACATAAAATAGGATTCAAATGGAAGTAATTAAAATTTAAAATTCTAAAATAATAACTTTTTAAAATGAGAAAAACCCAAGAATGTGTATTGAACCTAATTTGTTCCAAAAAAATCTAATATGTTGAAAGTCAATAACATAATCATTTTTTTAAATGTATTCAAAATTTTTACCATCAAACACAACAACTAATCTCCATCTATTAAGTGAAAAATTGACCTTTAAAGCTGCATACACGAGCAGCAGACAACCTAATGAACTTTAGATTACCCTCACTTAGTCATATCTTATACAATCATGATTCAATTTATTGAGGATTGGGTTCGGCCTTTTGAAATAATGATTCAATTTGTTTAATAGAAAAAATACACGCAAAATAAGTCTCTTTGATTCACAATCGGATTAGAAGTGTAACCTTTTTGCCCACACAAAAGCTATTCAAAATATCACATGGACTCACAGGGATTATGGGTTGTCCCAAATTAATTGCAAGACTTTCCCAAAACTCAAATTTCTATGTCTAAATATTATTTTACATTAATAATAATAATAATGTTTTTTACTAGAAAACAGCTCACTAAAAAAACCAATTTTCTCCTTAATAATATTTTCATCTATAACAAAAGATGAACGTTGAACAACATTTTCATAGATCATTTTGAAATATATTACGAATTGCAAACAGAATAAATTTTTTAAAAAAAAATAGAAAATCTAGAATTGATTAGAACTGAAATTGATTGGATTGAAATCAGAGTAACATTGCAACAATCAATCAATCAATCTGTGGATTGATTCAAAATAGCACACCCAATCTAACCCTAATCCTCCTCAATTCTAGACCTAAACACCACCAAAATATACACCAGCGACGCCAAACCCTAACCGCCGAAGCCGTACAGAGTGCGGCCCTGCCTCTTGAGAGCATACACAACATCCATTGCGGTAACCGTCTTCCGGCGAGCGTGCTCAGTGTAGGTAACAGCATCGCGGATCACGTTCTCGAGAAAGATCTTGAGGACGCCGCGAGTCTCCTCGTAGATCAGACCGGAGATACGCTTCACTCCACCACGGCGAGCCAGACGGCGAATGGCCGGCTTCGTGATGCCTTGGATGTTGTCCCGGAGAACCTTACGGTGTCGTTTCGCTCCTCCCTTTCCCAAACCCTTACCGCCCTTTCCACGCCCAGACATCTTCAGACAACTCTTCTCTTCTTCACTGACCTTTCAAAGATTTTTGATTGCGCTGTTAATTAGGGATTTAGGGAGGTTTATATACGGAAGTGAAGTCAAGAACAACCGTTGGATTGGTGGTGATAATTGACGGTGACAGATGGAGATCTGTGTGATGCGGATTGGAGCTCTTTAACGCCGTTGATAGCATCTTAATCTACAGTCTAGAGTTGCTTATTGCGTGACAATGCAGATCGTGGTTTTTATGAAGCATGTGGTGGTCCCTCGTGTTTGGATTTTGAATTCGGGAATTTGGGTAAACGAAGTAAAATATTTCGAAAAAGCGGCAAAATTTCAAATAATTAAGGTTTGTATGGTGAAAAGTGAAAACTTTTAATATTTATAGAGCTAAGTTTGAATTAAGCCATTAAATCATACTACAAAAGAGAAAATTTCAATTTTGGTCACATGATTATAGGGACATTGTTAATTTCAACACCTGACTTTTAAAAGTGTCAATTTAGTACCTTGACTATGTAATTTTTGTCAATTTTGGTCACTCCTGCCAAATTGACGGTCAAATTTGGCCAGAAAAATTTAATCAACATTTAGTCTAGAAAGGATCAAAAGACGATTTTACCCCTCAGATTATAGACTAAATGTTTGATTAAATTTTTCCGGTCAAATTTGACTGTCAATTTGGCCAGAGTGATCAAAATTGATAAAAATTAGATAGTCAAGGTACTAAATTGACACTTTTAAAAGTCAGATGCTGAAATTAACAATGCTCATACAGTCATGTGACCAAAATTGAAATTTTCTCTACTACAAAATAATACAATTGAATTATCAAATTCAAAAAAAAAAAATTGTAATTAACACATCGGACAACATAAAATGTGGCAATTGTATCAAATAACATGTTACATTACTTAGTCACCAATTACCTTAGGTTAATATTATCCCTGCAAACATCTCACTCTCAAAAATGGGTCTCACTCCACATCATCCTATTTGCAAATCATCTACTATTCACACTACATCCCTACAAATCTAATCAAATTTGTAAAAGTGGGTTCCACATGTTAAAATAATATTATTAATTATAAAAAGTAAAGAAAAAAATAAAAAATAAAATAAAAAGTACAAAAGCTGCGGCTTTGCAAATTTGCAAAGCCCTTAACTATAAAAAAAATGATGATGTGGCTAATCCACATCATCTTGTCAATCCCTTCTTGGCTGAGATGTGGACAGCCTTATGTGTTGAACAAGTCCAACACATCAATATATATAACATTGATGAGAATTTTTTTCATATTTTCATATATATAACATTGATGAGATTTTTTTTTCATATTTTCATATTTTTTGCAACTAATATAATTAGTTATTTGCCATTATTGGGTTAATTTATTTTAATAATAATGTTCTTATAGGGTGTTATGGCACGCTTGTCGCTAAGACAGAAGAATATCCTCATTTGTAACTAAAAATGATAGATAACCTTTTTAATTTTCTTCTATTATTTGCTTTTGCTTTACTAGTTAGAAGAATGATAAGAAGGTTTAAAAAGACCATTACATATGTTCATCAAAGAACATATAGACAAAATATTAGGTCTTTAATTTAAATTTAAATATAATGGTCTTTGACAGTGATGCCCAATGTGTTGAAAATTACATAATGGATAGAAGAGCTTTAACAAAATTATGTTATTTGCTAAGGACTCATGGTAAGTTGAAAGATAATAAGAATATAGCAATAGATGAGATGGTAATATCCTTTCTTCATATAATTGCACACAACATTAAGAATATAGTACTTAAACGTCAAATAGCGAGGTCTGGTGAGACTGTTAGCAGACAATTTCATGTTGTTTTGAACTTTGTGTTAAGGCTACACGACATAATGTTTAGAAAGCCTAAGCCTATACTTGATAATTCAACGGATGATATGTGGAAGTGGTATAAGGTATGAATTTTAATTAAGTACTAAGTTTTGTTATTTATTTATTTATTTATTTATCTACTTAAATCTAAATCAAGTATTAATTAAGTTATTGAGATTTAGGGTTGCTTGGGAGCATTATATGATACTTTTATAAAGGTAAATGTTGAAACGTTGAAACACCTAGGTACCGAACAAAGAAATGTGAAATTGCTGATTGCTACCAATGTATTAGGTGTTTGCACACCAGACATGCATTTTATCTACGTATTACCGGGTTGGGAATGATCTGCTGTCGATGGTAGAGTTTTGAGGGATGCGATTAGTAGGAAGAATGGCTTAAAGGTTCCTCAATGTAATTAATCTGATCATAGGTTTTGAATTATGTTATTTGAGTTTGCATATTAATGAATTCTTAAAATTGAATATATAGAGAATTACTATTTGTGTGCATGATGCTAGATACACAAACGTGGACGAATTTCTTGCACCATATAGAGGTCAATGATATCACCTAAATGAATGGAGACAAGGATACCAACCTGCAACAGCTAAGGAATACTTCAATATGAAACACTCTCAAGCAGGAAATTGCATTGAGAGGTGTTTTGGCATATTAAATGCTAGATGGAGTGTTTTAAGAGATAAATCATTTTACCCAGTCAAAACTCGATGTAGCTAGGATTATATCTGCTTGTTACATTCTCCACAATTTTATTAGGTCTGAAATGTCAATTGACCCTATAGAGATTGAAGTGCCTCAAACTGAGTTTGATAATGATTATGAGGAGGAACTAATAACACATTGTGAGACTAGTTCTGCTTGGACTGAATGGAGGGGCAAATTAGCATATGAGATGTTCACCAATTGGCACCATTGAGATTATTATTGGCTATGTTGTTTTTTTTTATATTAGTATTTCATTTTAAAAATAATTTAATTTTATGTTATTATTTCTTTTTTATTTTATTTCATTAATAGAATGTCAAAACTATGAACTAATTTATGTATTTGTATTAATTAGAGGACATTATTGTATTAATATATTGTTTGCACTGTTTATTTCTTCTTGTTATCTTGTTTCATTTGTAGAATGTCAATGGAAGAAAGTAGTAAAAAGTGACCTACAAAGAAAACTTCTCTTATTAAAAGGCAATGGACTAAAGCAAAAGATGCAGCTTTAATTGAATGCCTTATTGATTTGGCAAATGATCGAAGTACAAATGGGGATAATGGATTCAAAAGTGGATACTTGCAGCAACTTGAGAAGATGCTT